GGAGCAGAAGGGGTTAACCCTGGGGGGGGGCACCTCGTCCTTCCCAGGGCACCCGAGTGGCACCCGGGGGCTATTTTGGGAGCTGGCAGGACGCAGAGTCACGGGGAGGGGGGCTCTGCCGGGGGGGGGGGCTCAGCCTCCGTGCGGCCGGATCCTGCTCCGCTCCGCACCCCGGGCGCACACGAGGCTTCCCCCCCGCTGCTTTCCGCGACCCCACACCACCATCCCCGCGGTCCCCCGTGTTGGGGGGGGCCGCCCCCCACCCCATACCTTCTCCCTCTCCTGGCTCTGCCCCGGCTGGACGAATCCGGCCAAGACGAGGGACAAAATCCAAGCTCCCCGGCACCAGCTCCCCATGGCTGGGGGCGGCTGGGGGGGGCGGTGGCGGGCACCCCCCGGGAAAACGGCACGGAGGGGCTCAGCCTCGTCGCCTTCTGCCCGTTCCCAGCCCGGTGGCGACGGGGAAATAGCGGCGGGGCCGCCCCGCGGAGCCAATCGCCGCCGGGAGGGACGGGGCCGCGCGTTAACCGTGTGCGCCCTGGGGCGGCCGCTGCGCAAAGCGCCCCCGCCCTCGGGGGGGGGGCGATTTTTAACGGTTTTTGGGTATTTTTTTTTTTTCTAAGGGGGAGGTGGCAGGGCCAAGGTGGTATTTTGGGGGCGTGGGGTTTGGGTTTTGGGGGGGCAACGCGCTGCGGGGTGGAAAGGGAGGGGGTGCTGGGTAGGGGGGCACCTGCGCGGAGCGGGTCACCGGGCTGGGGACAGGGTCTGGGGTCACTGGGCTGGGGGCTGGGAGCTGGGAGCTGAGCACCACCAACCCCATCACATCCCTCCGTCAGCATCTCTCAGGAGCCTGAGCAGGGGTCTTTGGGGTCCCCCCCAGCTCCAGTGCCCTCTCCCCCCGTGGCCGTGCTGCTCAGGGGTGCAGAAGCATCCATCAAGCTTCACATCTGCAGCCAGAGCAAATGGGGCTTTCCTGCTCTTCCCCAAAGCCCCCCTGGGTTTGGGGGGGCTTTGCTCCCCGAGCGATGCTGTGCTCAGCAGCCGGGGGCAGGGCACGGCGGTCCCTTAGCCCTCATTGTCCCCAGGGACAGGAATTTCCAGGGCCCTGCTTGCCTAACCGGGGAATGCAAACATTTATCCTGGGCCGGCTCCAAGGAAATATCCGTGGTGAGGTGTAAATTCCCTTAAGCCCTTTAAAATAATTTAATGGGAGGATCGACCGGCCGGAGAGGAGCTGGGGGGGAGGCTGCGGTCAGGGGGTGACCGCCCCGGGGCAAAGGGTGGCAGTGGGGGAGCCCCGGGGGACCCCAAACACCCTGCTGCCAGCACCGGCGTGGGAGTTTGTCTTTGCTAGAAAGCAGGGCCAGCCCTGCCAAGGCTTTGTCAAGAGCAGCCTCCCGGGAAGGGCAGCGAGGTCACAGCTTTGGGGGAGGCTGGGAGCGATCCCCGTCCCACGGGGAAGGCAGGAACGGGACGTGCTGGGACAGGCTGGCTGCAAACCACCATTGGGTGCACGGAGGAGCTGGGATGTGGGAAGGGGCACCCTGGGGGGCTGCATTTGGCACCCACTGGCAGCGGTTTGGGGTTTGGGGGCCGATGCTGGTGCAGGAGGGAGCAGTGGGGACGCTCACCGTGCTGGGGTGAGCGGCCCTGGGGACTGCTCGGGGCCAGCGTGGGGGGAAATGTGGCAGGCAGGGACACGCTGCTGATGGGAAGCAGCTGGGATTGCTCAATAAATCGGGGAAATGGGGCTGCAGAGCACTGAACCTCTGGTCTTTTCTAGGGACAGGGCATGCCCGTGGCAGGGGACAGCTGGCACAGGGAGCTCCCTGCACGAGGGAGCGGTGCCTCTGGGTGGAGGGGACCCCACAGCCAGGCTGTGGGGCAGTCGCTGCGGGTCCCTCTGTCATTTGGGTGGCATTTCCCCAAGGATTAGTGGCGCAGCCCTACCCTAGAGCCTGTCCCGGAGCGCTGCAGGGCGGTCCTCCCGCTCCACACAAACAACAGCAAAAAATAAAAGTGCCTTTTTGACCTCTCCACCCCCGGCTGGAGATTCCTGGCTCGGGCAGCGGGCTGCAGGGTGGGAGATGAAATCCTCCACAGCGCTCAGCCCCCATCTGGGGAGCGCTCAGAGCCCCGAGCGCCTGTGCTCCCGTGGCAGGGGGTGCTCGGGATGCGCCGCTCACCCCTCGCAGACGTGGCCGTGGGCGGTGTGAGGCGGCTCCTTGCCAAAACCAAAGAGGTTGCAAGAGCCAGAGAAAGCAGGCTTGACCCTCCCCTCCCACCTCCTGGGCTCGGGGGGCGTTTGGGATGGAGGGGCTGCAGCTCGGGGCCGGCACGTCGCTCACGTCCCGCAGCCGGCAGGGCTGCACACCCTGGGCACACGGAGCTGCTCGGGGCTCCCCGCTATTTCCCATCAGGGAAGAGCCTCCCACCCCTGTTCCATGCCCTAATTGCCCCTGTGGGGCTTTGGTAGCTTTCTATCATTCCCAGGGATTTGGGGCCGGGAGGAGGGCTGCACCCAGCCGCGGCTCCCCACACATCCCCAATCGCCTCCACGCGCACGGGAGGGCTGACCCGCTCCTGAACTGCTTTTTTTTTTTTTTTTTTTTTTCCGAAACCAAACTAAAATAAGGGGCTGACCACGCGTGAACCTCCCTCCTCGGATGTTTTTCCTCCGGAGCCGGGCTGGAGCCAGCCCCCGCCTGCTGCAGCTGTTTGGCAGGGGGCTGAGGCTGGGGGCCAGCGGCGCTTCCAGCCCCCGTCCCCACCTCCCCGGGGGCCAGCAGCATCCTGCCCTTCATCACTCGGGTGCGCAGCACAGCACCAGGTGCTTTTCGGCTGATCCCATCCAAACCCGTGTCCCCTGGCGGTGCTTGTTCCCTTCTCCACGGCACCAGGGGTCCCCCCGTGCGCCCTGGCCACAGCCCGGGAGCCGGCGCGTGGCACTGGCACAGCGTCAGTCCCGGGGCAACCTCTGAACTTTTGTTCTAGGTGTGCAACGGGAGGGAAAAGCAAAACAAACTCTGATGGGAGAGGGGCTCGGCCAGGCAGGGGAGGGGATGAGGGTGGCCGCTGGGTGCTCCCCATCTCCCTCCGGCCCAAGGAGCCCCCGGCCATGCCCCCGGCTGGGATTTGTTCTTTCCCAAAGTGGAGAAATGAGGAGCCCACGGGGTGCGAGGACTCTGCTGTTTGTTCCACTGCAGCCAGGAGCTCAGAGGGAGGTTTGGGAGCCCGTGAGCCTCCCTTTAGGGCTTTGGTGTGGGTCCTGTGCCAGCAGCTGCTGCAGGCAACGCCGCCTCTGCCCCCCTGGCCAAGATGTTTGGGGTCGGCTCCTGCTCTCCTCTGGAAATGCGTTACCAAACCTCTTACGGCTGCACAAACCCCGTCCCCTTCCCTGGGACCTGCAGGGACAGGCTCAGAAGCTGGAGACAGCACAGGGGGGCTGCTGCCGGAGCCCCCCACGACCCTCCCGAGGAGCCCCCACCTCCTCGGCGCGGCTGGGCAGCGTTACGCAGGAGCCGTGCAGGCGATGTGGCTGCTGCTCTGCTCCTGGCAGCTCTCGTCACCGCTCGGAAGCGAGCTGAAAAATAACATCCTGCGTCAGCGCCTCGCCGCAAGCAGCCTCCACGTCCTTGGGGCCGGCAGCCTCCCCCCAGCACCTGCCCTGACCCCCCCTGGGCGCACACATCGCGAGCCCCCGGCTCCCTTTGGGCAGCAGAAGGTTTTTTTCTCCTGCAAAACCCCAGGGAAAAGCTGCCCAACACCTCGGGCGCTGCTCCAAGCGAGGGCCCCGCGAGGATTTGCTTCTCTTGCTGGCTCTCAGGAGGAATTTCCAAGCGTGCAGCAGCCCCAGTCCAATCCCCCCTCTTGTCATGCCTTAAAAATGTCTCGGCTCCCCCTCGCCCTCCCCTCCGTTGCCTCTTGTTTTGTTCCGAGTGGCTTCTTGCCTCCTTGCACAAAGCCTCCTTTTCACTGCCTTTCCTGGAAACCTCTGCCGTGCTTCCCAGAAAGCTCCCACCACAAAAAGGCGACCTCACGCACACCCCCCAGGAGAAAACTGAGGTTCAGGGGAGCTGGAAACGGCCCCGGGAAGGGCTGGGGGAGCTGCTCAGGCTTTTCCTCAGCAGCGTTTCGCCCCCGGCCAGGCTTCCCTCGCCGCCCACAGCGTGGTGCGTGGTTTTGCCTCTTCCTCTCACGGTGCCGATTCCTGGAAGCTGCATCGGTGCCGCCGCTGTCACTGCGGATTTCCCTGGGGGCTGCCGAGGCTGCCGGCAGCCCGGGGGGGACGGGGAGCAAGGGGGGGAGCAGAGCAGGGGCTGCTCGGACCCGGCGTCATCGCCTCCAGCCGCCGGCACCGCGTGTGCCAGCGAGGGAGGGCGAAGGGAGGAACAAAGGACAGGCAGCGCCGGGTGGAGGACAAATAAATCCGGGTGGAACCTCCAGGGCTGTGGCTCCGGAGGGGAGAGCTGAGTAAAAATGCATTTCCAGGTAGGGTGAGGAATATGGGGGTGCCCCTACCCGGCACAGCCACATCCCTACAGCTCCAGGGTGGCCGTCCCCGCTCCCCAGGGTCCCCATCCCCACACCGGGCTCCTTCCCCACCCCCAGCCCCATTTCCAGCCTTCAGCACCCAAGGGGCCGACTCTTCAGCTGTGCGATCAGGGTTTAACCCGCTTCCCCCCGCCGCCTTTCCCACATCCCAGCCTGATTCACCCCGTTGCTCACAGCCCCTCTGGTGTTGAGTCACCGGGACGCCGGTGCCGCGGGGCTCCTGCCACGTGCAGGGCTCCTGGCGAGCCGGGGTGGCTGCGGGGGCAGTGACGCAGGTCGCCCACGCCTGAGAAACGTGGCCACGGCCCCAAAATGTGCTCGGCACCGCCAGGAAGCCCCCCGGGCACCGGCAGCCCCTGCTGAGGATTCGTGCTGCGGGAGGCAGGGGGCCCCGCCGTGCGCCCCGACACCAAGCGCAGCCTGCACGGAGCTGCAGGACGCACGCGTGGAGCCAAGTCCTGTTTATTTTTGAGTAGTCTAAAAGATTTTCGGCCCTTCTCAGTGCCTGGGCACGAGCTCCTTTTGCTGCCTGTGCCACAGGGAGCTGGGGCAGGCGAGGGGCACGTGGGCACGGGCTGCCCACGCTCCTCAACCCCGTGAGATGCGCAGGACCCAAGCGCCCCACAGGGTTTTCCTGTAGTTTCAGCAGATAGCCTGGGACGTGGAAAAGCTGCTGCCAGCTGCTGCTCTGCCCTGCAGCAGGCACGGGCTCCTTCACCGACTCTTTAGCAGAGTTTCTGGATGCGCAACCAGAAGCCGCATCCCTCCTCCTGCTTCCACTCCTCTTTTCCAAGCACCCCCAGAGCTGGGTCACCCAGGAGGGAGCAGCTTTGCCGGGCATTTAGGGCCGTTGCTGCCCAGCTGCTGATCCCAGGGAGGGTCCCGATGGGGAAATAACACAGCTGCGAGGAGCCGGGGTCACCAGCAAAGGCGAGCTCGGCACCGTGGGACCATCCAGGCGTCACCTCCCCGTCCCCACAGCCCCCCAGCTCCGGGGCCACGGGCTCCCTGCTGCTGCCGGGGGGGGGCTCGGTGCCTTCAGCCCGGCTCCTGCCCCATCTCCTGGTGCCCAGCCCGGGCTCACACGATGCTGTTGCGCGTGGGGTGAGTCCGCACCCGATAGATGATGACGGCGGTGGCCGGGCAGAGCACCAGGGCCGTCATGACGAGGACGGTGGCCAGGATGATGAGGACGATGACCCAGATGTCCAAGATGTGCTTGGGGAGGGCGGTGGGGTCCGGGAGGTCCATCCTGCAAGAAGGGGGGGTGCCCCGAGCCGTAGGGCGCTCAGCACCCCGGGGAGATCGCCTCCAGCCTGGGCTCCTCGGAGAGCACAAAGCCAAAGCTCCTCTGGGAAGGCTGAGGGAGGATTTATGGCGCGCTCTGATGCGGCTGGATGAAAGCCAAAAAAAAAAAAGAAAAAAGTTCCCTGCTAATTGCTGCTGTAATTAGAGGAGCTGATGAAGGCAGGCGGCGTCCCACCGCTCCCCCCAGGCACTGCCCAGCCCCGCAGCGGGGTGCCCGGGCTCTGGGGGGGCAGTGCAGGTTCCCGGGGGGCAGCGGCTGCTTTGGGCACCCCAACGGGTCCCAACCCCCCCAGGCACGGCACCCCCACACCTCCCGGCCCCTCCCGCAGCTCCCTACTGAGTCACACAGCCTAATTAGCACGGCTCGTTAATGGAATAAGGGCACAGAGGGCATCGGGGTGGTCTTGGGGTGCAAAGCGTGTGTGAGGCTGCGCTCCCAGCACCAGCACCCGTCCATCACAGCCCCAGCACCAGCCACCAGAACCACCACGAGTACCACCACCAGTACCATCCAGCACCCATCCCAGTACCAGCACCCTTCCCAGTACCATCCCTCCCAGTCCCAGCACCCATCCCAGCACCCATCCATAGCCCAGAACCCATCCATCCCATCCCAGCCCCATCCATCCTATCCCAGTACCACCCACCCCAGCCCCAGCACCCATCCATCCTATCCCAGTCCCATCCATCCCAGTCCCATCCACCCCATCCCAGCACCCATCCCAGTCCCAGCACCCACCCCAACCCCATCCATCCCATCCCAGCACCCATCCCAACCCCATTCCAGCACCATCCCAGCACCCATCCCAGTCCCAGCACCCACCCCAACCCCATCCATCCCATCCCAGCACCCATCCCAACCCCATTCCAGCACCATCCCAGCACCCATCTCAGCCCCATCTATCCCATCCCAGCCCCATCCCAGTCCCAGCACCATCCCAACCCCATCCACCCCACCCCGACCCCCTTGGGGTGCTTCCCCCCCCCACAGACAGGGAGAACCCCCCCGGACCCTCCCTCTCCGTGCCGGGGGTGCCCCGGGGGCCACGCGTTTTGGGGCTGGGGCCAGCAGCACCGGGCAGCCCCGAGACCCCGTGGGGACGATCCCCGAAGCCCCCCCCCCCGGTGCCCGACCCTCACCTGCGGCGGGGAGCGATCGCGTCCCCGTCCTGCCCCGATCCCACAACCCGGTCCCGGGGCGGCTGCAGGGGGAGGGACGGGGCGGGGAGGGGAAGGGAAAGGGGAAGGGATGGGGCCGGGCGAGGGAGGGCAGGGCTGGGAGGAGAGGAGGGGAAGGGGGAGCACGGGGGGGGCCGGGGGAAACCGGGACAAGGGGGGGGGAAACGAGGGGCTGGGGTCGGGAATGGGCACGGGGGGGGTGTGGGGATGGATAGGGGATGGACACAGGGACAGATAGGGGGACAGACACGGGGACAGACGTGGGGACAGGTATGGGGATGGACACAGGGACAGACACAGGGACAGGTATGGGGACAGACAGAAGGACAGATGTAGGGACAGGTATGGGGACGGACACAGGGACAGACGTGGGGATAGATACAGGGACAGATATGGGGACAAACACAAGGATAGACACAGGGACAGATGTGGGGACAGCTATGGGGACAAACAGAAGGACAGATACGGGGACAGACGTAGGGACAGGTGTGGGGATAGATATGGGGAGACACACGGGGACAGATATGGGGACAAACACAAGGCTAGACAGAGGGACAGACGTGGGGACAGATATAGGGACAGACACGAGGTCAGATGTGGGGACAAACAGAAGGACAGATATGGGGACAGACGTAGGGACAGGTATGGGGACAGGTGTGGGGACAGACGTGGGTACAGCTGTAGGGCCAGGCACGGTACCAGCAGCAGGAGAGGCCCACGAGCACTCAGCAATGGGGCAGGAGGGCACGGAGCCTGCCTGGGGCTGGCTGCTGCCGTCAGATGACGCTGCCCGGGGTTATCAGCACGCAGAGGAAGCCTCGCCGCTTCCCTCCGGAGCTGCTCGCACAGACAGGGGCTGGGGACGGGGCTGGGGGGGGGCACACGCTGCAGGACACCCCACGGGGAGCCTCGGTGGCATTGCCAGGACCCGAGTCCTGATGCACCTTGTGCCCTCTGAGCACTCTGCGGGGGGTTTTGGTGGATCCCACGGCACGGGGCTGCTGCTGGGTCGCTTGGTGTGGTTGTTGGTTTGGTTTGGGCACTGCTGCGCCCCACAGCACCCACAGGGTAGGTGGGGACCCTGCTGTCAGGGTGTGCCCTGTGCCACCACGTCCTGCTCGGGCAGGCGCACGCCTGACAGCACTGCACGGCCACTGCAACGCTGCGGGGGGCACGCAGGTGATGCACGGCCACTGCACGCTGCACAGAGCCTTGCACAAACCATTGGACACTGCACAAACCCTTGCCTAACTCATTGTGCATTGCACAGAGCCTTGCACAGACCCTTGCATGCTGCATAAATCTGTGCAGTCCCTTGCACGCTGCACAGACTCTTGCCTAAATCACTGTGCATTGCACAGAGCCTTGCATAAACCCTTGCACACTGCATAAAGCCGTGCACAGACCATTGCACACTGCATATGTCCTTGCACAAACCCTTGCACGTTGCACAAACCCTTGCATAAACCATTGCACGCTGCTCAGACCCTTGCACAAACCCTTGCACGCTGCATAAACGCATGCACAGCCCCTTGCACGCTGCACAGACTCTTGCATAAACCATTGGATGCTGCACAAACCCTTGCCTAAATGATTGTGCATTGCACAGAGCCTTGCACAAACCCTTGCACGCTGCATAAATCCATGCACAGACCATTGCACACTGCACAGCCCCTTGCACAAACCCTTGCATATTGCATAAATCTGTGCACACTGCACAAACTCTTGCATAAACCATTGCACACTGCACAGACCCTTGCCTAAACCATTGTGCATTGCACAGCCCCTTGCACACCCCTTGCACACCCCTCCCCGCTCCCCCGCGGCACCGCAGGGGTTAACCCCTTTGGTCACGTGGCCTCCACCCCCCAGCAGGGGGCGGGGCGATGACGTGTCCCTCCCGCGCGCTGCGCGGTGACGTCAGCGCGGCGGCGCGGCGGCGGCCGCAGCTCCCCCGGCAAGATGGCGTCGCTGCTGCAGTCGGAGCGGGTGCTGTACCTGGTGCGCGGCGAGAAGGAGCTGCGGGCGCCGCTGCCGCTGCTCTACTTCTGCCGCTACTGCAGCGAGCTCCGCTCCCTCGAGTGCGTCTCGCACGAGGTAACGCCGGCCCGGCCGCGCCGCTGCCTTCCCATTGGCCGCCTCGCCTGTCGATCTTTCGTATCCCGCCCCGCTATTGGCTGGTGGAGGGGCTCGGGGGGCGGGCGTAGAGAGAGGAGCGGTGGGTGTGGGAGGGGGAGGGGCGCGGCACGTGGATTGGCTGAGCGGTGCTGTCAGTCAGCGTGGGGAGGGCTGTGATTGGTGGAGATGGGCTGGGGGGGCGGGAGTTGTGAGGGGGGTCGGTGTGTGAGGGGCGTTGGGGGGTGACAGGGCGGGGGGAGGGCGAGAGGAGGGGGGGCCTCGCCGCCTGCTCCTGGCTAATTGCCACAGCGTTAATTAATTATAATTAAATGAGCCTAGGGCAGGGGGGAGGCGCTTGTGGAACGTGTGGGGATTGGTCCGGGTGGGTGACCAAGGAAAATAAAAAAGGAAAAATAAAGAAAAAAGTGGTTTATTGAAGCTTTCTGTCACAATAACGGCACAAATTAAGGGGTCGCGCCTCACGGAGCCCCCACGGGCAGCCCCGGGGGCTGAGGAGGGCCCCTTCGTGTCTGGTCTGAGCCCCTCACCTTGAGGAGCCCCCCCTCGTAGGGATTAATTAAACAGTAATTTGGGCTGAGGGCAGTGGGGTCGGTTTGGGCTGGGAGGGGCCGATCCGAGCCAAACCCCACAAATATCCCCGAACCCGGGGCCTCACGGGGTGCCTGGGCCTGTCCCTGTGCTGTTCCGCAGGTGGACTCGCACTACTGCCCCAGCTGCCTGGAAAACATGCCCTCGGCCGAAGCCAAGCTGAAGAAGAACAGGTAAGGGCGGCTCCTCCGCTCCCCTTGGCCACGTGCACCTGAAGCTCTCCTCAGAAATCACATCACTCATTTTGTTTTAGTCCGTTAGGGGACAGAGTGTCTTCCCACGATGTGCCACGTACCCTTGGTGTCATCCTTTTTTTGGTGACCTGCTCTCAAACCACAAAGAGCAGCATTATTTCTATCACCCAAATTTCCTCATTGCTTCCATTCTTACATTGACCCTAAACTCCTCCATTCCTCTAGTGCTGCTGCATTAGATAGGAACATTTATTATTTTAATCATGATTTACTCATTGAAAGCATTCTCCTGTGCCTGTGGGCTGCGTTTGGGCCTCGTTAGCTCCCTCTCACACAGTAGGCTTTCCTCTTTTCCAGGTGTGCCAACTGCTTTGACTGCCCCTGCTGCATGCACACCCTTTCTACCCGGGCCACCAGTATTCCTGCTCCGCTCCCCGATGACCCGGCCAAAACTACGATGAAGAAAGCCTATTACCTGGCCTGCGGGTTTTGCCGCTGGACTTCCCGGGATGTGGGCATGGCAGATAAGTCTGTTGGTAAGTGGCAGGCAAAGGCACGAGGCTAACAGCAGGAGTCCGGCGTCTTTCGGAAGTTAAAAGATAATCAAAGGTGGTTTCTGGCTGGATGGTGGGTGTAATGTTTGCCTAGGTTTTGAGTCACGGTTGGGGAATTCACAGGAAAATGATTTGTCTCTGAAGTCGTGGCTGCAGAGCTGAGTGAGTGTAACATCTGGCCTGCTGCCAGGCTCGTGTTACCTGCCTCGTGAGGAAGCTGTAAAACACGGGGCTCTGTACAGTCAGTGGGCTCTGCCCCTTCTGGAGAGCTTGCTCGTTCGCCTTCAGAGTCTTTGAAGTTGCTCAGTCTAACAGCATAGAAACCTAGTTTATTTTCTGTCACTTTTGTTTACTCAGGCTTATTTCAGAGGTGCTAGTCTTTGGCACTTGTTTTTTTCTCTTACTGACAGCACTGGAACAAAGCTTTTATCTATTTCTTGACGTGTAAGGCATGCAGAAAGTATCTGTCTGGCTCCAGGAGCGAGGCTGAGTAGACCAAGCAGGTCCTCTTTGATTTCTGGTGTTCCTGTGACTGTAGAGTCGGAGCTGAAGATGCGGGGACACTGGCAGCTAGAAATAAGAGAGTGTTCTTGTAAACTTAATTGCATGCTGCTGGGTGCTGTGCTGAGCATCTGTCAAGCAGCAGTTGTTTAAAAACACAGTATAAAAGCTGGGCAAGTGACTTCAACCCAAACCTGACTGGGAAAAGCTTTCAGAGGTAGATAGTTATGCAGGTATGAGCTTGAAGATCTGTAATGGTAAGCGTAGTGAGCATAGGGCAAGCCATGTTTCAAGAGTATTGGTGATTTCTGTGTAGAATCAAGAAACCTTCTCCTAAGGAGTTTGTTCTTTCTCTTTCTCACACAGCTAGTGGCGGCTGGCAGGAACCAGAGAATCCCCACACGCAGAGGGTGAGTGAAGGAGAAGGCCATGCTTTAGGCTGAGGTAGCATCAGGTAGAAAGAGCTGTTAGAGGTGCTGAGCCCTCTCGATTGCTTTTTCTGCGCCTATGTAATTCTTCAGATGCCAGGTCCAGCTCATGATCTCTATCTTGACTGAATTCAGTGGAAGGGAGGCCTCTGAGAGGCTCTTCCATGGATGCCACGGTGTGAAATCCAAGTTCAGAAGACGCCTGGTTGCAAACATTATGTCTAGCAGCACAGTTAATATGAAACTAGTGAGCATGTTGTGTCTGTGTGTCTTGGGGAACTGGGGAAACGTGGGGAAGGCTGCTAGCTAAGGGAGAGTGCTGCTAGCCTGTGACAGAGCACATCAGATTTTGCTTTACTGGTCTCCATTTAAAACTCTTAGTGCAATCAAATTTAAAAACTTGCACATTGCTCTGGAAGAAGAAAAGGCTTGAATCTAAAAGGCGCTTATGCCCAGTTACTACCATGCAGTGTGCTTGGTGGGCTTTCTTCATGTGAACAGAACTTATTTTCCAAGCAACAGTGCTTAGAGGATCTGGGAAACAGAACTGCACCTCTGTGACCTTTCCTTGCCACCAGTCAGGGCTCTGCACTAAACGTAAATCAGCCTCTGGGTGGGGAGGTGCTGATTGCAGCACTAACCCAAACTGCTAAGGCACAGAATTAAGACACAGAAATAATAAGACACGCCGGCTCCTGCAGCTGGTCTGGCGTTTGTTCTCCTTTCACCGTGTATCTGTTCCTCCTCGCCCCTGCAGATTAACAAGCTGGTGGAGTACTACCAGCAGCTGGCTCAGAAGGAGAAGATCGAGCGGGACCGCAAGAAGCTGGTGCGACGCCGAAACTACATGCCGCTGGCCTTCTCGGTGAGCTGTGAGCACCGTGCTGCCAGCGCAGGAGCAGCGATGTGCAGCAGCAGCAGCTTGGAAACTTAGCCGAGTGGTAGCATGATAGGGCTGCTCTGCTTTTTTATTTGTTCCTAACTGAGAACATTAAGAAAATGCACTAGGGCACTTGGGTTTCTTTGGGGACGAGCAGTTTTGCCCGCGTTGTGTATTGCCTTGCCTCACTCTCTGATAGTCCTCTCTGATAGCGCCAGAAGGGTTTGTAGCTGCCAGCTGAAGGAACACCTTATCCAGCAGTGAAATGCAGCACAACTGCACTCATGATACCAGTGGTAGCTCTCAGGACAGTTTCATACCACTGCTCGGTAACAGATCAGAATTATCCTGCGCTTTGCTGCGTGAAATCTCATCTGAACTGAACTTTAACACTCGATTATGGCCTGAATAACTTGTTTATTGTACCTGCCAGGTAAATGCTTACTTTGTTCAGCTAGGTACTGCGTATGCTTGCTACTTCTCAATTAACTGTGCCTGCTCTGTGCCCTTGCTTGTGTCTTATGGCTGCATTTTTTGTCTCCGTTGCTACCTGCTGCTATTTTGGGGGCTCTCCACAGCAACACACTATACACGTAGTGGTAAGTCTCTTCCCGGTTTCTGCTGCTGTTAAAGCTCTCACGGTACCAACTGAAGGGCAGTAACGTGTCCTGCTCGTCACCTGTCCTCAGGGCCTCTGACTTGGACGTGCCTAGAACAAAGGCACCTGAGGGCTAGCTAGTTAGAGGGTAACGTGTTGCAAAAAATACTGCTTATTAGCTTAGAAGCAGGCAGTGCCTTTGGGTAAGTAGCATGTGGTTTAAAAACATTCCTTCACAAAGCCTGGCCAAGACACAGACATCTTACCTGCCGGAGGGAAACGGCACTGACATCAGTCTCCTGATCCTTGAAGAATCACTAGGGCTGACGCTCACATTTCTCATTTGGTGAGAATTGGATTTTCAGCTCTGCCCGGAAGGAAGATTGCTTCCTAACGTCTTGTGTGCTTCTCAGCTGTAGGAAGCTGGGGGGTAGCTCAGCTGTTCCTGCCAAGCCATGGTGCCTTGCGAGAGAGTCAGAGTAACTAAGTTAGAGCAGCAAGGCTCAGAGGAAGCTGAACACTCCAGCTGCTTCTAGGAGCACTGCAGAGCATCTCAGATGGACACATAATCGTGTTTACCCAGTTCTTAGGCAGCTGAACTCATTCTGCACTACTTGTTCAGTACAGAGAACACGTCAGTAGTGCAGGCTGGTGGTTAAGGGAAGGAACAATTTTATAAGCAGTACACACACACCTGCCTCTTCCAGTCTGCAGCGTAGTGGTAATTGTTTTCTCCTTACTAACAGCTTGAGCAGGAAAAATAATCTTGAGAGGCCTTGAATACCTTTCCCTTTTTGCTTTAATTTGCTTGTTTCCCTATGCTTGTCATGCAGTTTTAAAGGGTGAGTTTGCAGGAGGTCTTTTTTGTCCTGGCAGGAAGCAGGACAGAAGCTTTTTTCTGACAGCACCTTTTTCCCTGCAGGACAAATACGGCCTGGGAACCAGGCTTCAACGCCAGAGGCCCGGCGCCCCGATCAGTGCTCTCGCTGGACTCTCGTGAGTTCCTGGGCTGGGGTTATCTCTGTGGGAAGGACAGGAGGTGTAGGGGAGGAGGTGTTCTCTCTGACCACATTTTCCCTTACTTTGTATCAGTCTGAAAGAAGGCGAAGACCAAAAGGAGATCAAGATTGAGCCAGCTGATGCAGTGGAAGAAGTGGAACCTCTTCCTGAGGATTACTACACCAGACCAATCAACCTGACAGAGGGTAATGCCTTAATGGCCTGGCACTTCTGCCGTTCCCTTTTATAACATGGGAAGTGCTTGGAGACTTTCCAGTAGAGTTCCTAGTGCTCTGAGGCTTTAGTAATTTTTACATTGTTGTTGAAATGGTGTGATTTTTTTTTTTGACCTTTTAAATGGTAATTTTGATTGCAGCTCAGCTTTGTATTATATGTGAAAAGCTCAGAGCCAAAACCAGCAGGCCTCTTTACTATTGTTTCCTCTTTTTTTTTTGGTTTTGGTTCCTCTGCATGCGAAATGTCAAGATTTGGATGGAGGAAAGGGCTGACATTCTTTTTCAAATAGTAGCAGGAAATAAGGAAGTGGTTGTGCTGCTGGGGAGTTGGCACTTTAATTGGCCTGTTCAGTAACAATTGTGCATTATTTTGACATCAGCTTGGAACAGCTTGCGGACGCTTTAGCTGGCTCGTGATGTAATCAGCAAATATTGTAAATCGGCCCAGAAAACTGGGGGGTGAATGGGACAAAACAGCGGGTACAGGAAGCGATGTGGACTTCCTGCTGAGGTGGCTTTAAGCAGGTCAGATGTCCTCAGTAGTTCTGTGGGACCACAAAGTCCACCAACATCAGTTCATGAGGGCTTTTTGGAACGGGGCAGAGCATCTTTGTGGTAAAACTCCGTCAGAGTTGTGAAAATACAATGCTGGTGGAGAAGACAACTCACACAGTGGTTCCCTGGCAGGGGGGCAGCCAGGTGGCTCGCTGCCTGTTAGGTGCTGGGGTATTCACCGGGAGCCTGTTTTGGGGGAGAAACCCTCGGGGAGTTTGGCCACTGTGGTTCCTTGCCTTCGGAACTATGCAGTCACTAATTCTCTGCATGAGTCTGAATTATGCAAACTCCTTACGGAGAAGCTGGATGTTCTACTTGTGCAGTGCCCTGCTGTGACAGTAACAAAGCTATGAAATCTGATTTGCCCTTTGCAAAAGCATGGTTTGTTTTCTAGATGTCAATAAAATACTGTTGCCATCTCAGCTGAGCTTCAAAAACAGATCACAGTTTCTTGTTCCTCCTGGCTTGGCACTTGTATTGTACAAATGTTACCATGCCCAGTCAGGGCAGCCCTTTTTACCCCTCTTACCCTTGTGTTCATTCACTGCTAGGAGCAGTGACACTTACCAGTGGCTTCTGAATTAGTGGGTGCAGGTGAAATTAAATTCTGCACAGCGCACTGCACACGTGCAGTTAGCACAGCACATATTTACAGTCTAGCTTGAGTTCCAGCCTGGGTAAGCCTGGGTAAGACATAAACTTGGTTTATTTTCTCTTGTGTACCCAGTGACGACCCTGCATCAGCGTTTGCTGCAGCCCGATTTCCAGCCGATCTGTGCTTCCCAGCTCTACCCACGACACAAGCATCTCCTGATCAAACGCTCGCTGCGCTGCCGGGTAGGTGGCTAAATACGAAACAGCACTTGTAGGCTCACAGAAATTGGGATGTGGGGAAATGGGCTCTGTATTTCTCTTTAGAAGAAGCTGCTCAGATGCTTCTGGTTGTTCTAAGTTCTCTAGAACGTTCTCTCGGTGCTGTTATCAGTTACAAGGGAGACTGTCACATCTCTGATGTGACTACGGAATGTGAAGGGGTAGCCACACTGTCAAAGACACACAAAGACACAAAGGTGGATTTGCAGAAGTGTCTGTGCACCATGCCTAGCAGAGGACTTAAAGAAAGCAGCCAGTACACTTGGCATTACAAAATTCTGCTATTATTAAAGACAAAAATCAAGTCAGTAAACAACATATTAGTGATAGGCACCGTAGAGTGGTGAAACTGCCCCTGGAATGAAGGCAGAAAGAGTGGAAAAGCAGAGAGCTGCGAAGACAAGCAAGAATTAAATCCAAGTTCTGCCTTTGACTTGCTACATCATCTTCAGAAAGCTGCTTGCTTTCTCAGTGAAACAGGGATATTGATCTAGTTCCCAGGCTAATAGAGGAGTATTCTTGTAAGTATTTAAGATGCAAAATGCTTTGCAAATGCAGATTATTTTCTCAGAAATAATAATGTCAGGCTGGGCCTGTATTGGAAGAGCAGTCTGTGAGCAGATCAATTTTGGGTTGCAGCTGTTGGCTATTTAATGGATTCTGGAGTGTAAGCCAAAGGGCTGCAGTTACTTGTGCCTTCTTCCTGCTGCATTCAGTGTCTGAATATTTTTCATCCTGGTTCTGAATCTCGTGTTTCTGAGGTTGCACTAGCTTTGCTGGAATGACGTTTTCAAAAATATCAATAACCTGACACTGGTCTGACTGCGTGCACCCCAAGATAGCTGTTACGTGTGCTGTGCTAGAGGGGTAGTGCTGTGGCTGGTGGCACTGTGCCTGCAGCTCTGATTCATCAGTTTGTGACTGCACGCTGTTTTCTGGTGTTTACTAAAATATCTTTGCTTCTAGAAATGTGAGCATAACCTGAGCAAACCAGAGTTCAATCCAACATCTATCAAGTTCAAGATCCAGCTGGTTGCTGTGTAAGTAAGATGCAGGGGCTGGGGGTAACAACTGCCTACCAACGCTTAGTTAAAGCCTTGTATTTCCATTTCTTTTGTGCTTTTGATTTGACCTCTTTTATGATTGATTGTGACATTTCTTACAATGATGTAATCGCCTTTTGTATTTATTTGGGTAAATTTTCAGTAAGATTGCTTCATAATCTGCTGAAAACTTCAGTTTGAAAGAAGGGATGGTGTGCTGTTCCAGCCCCATGTCACAGCAGGAGTTAAAAGGATTAGCCTTATATAGCAAAAGGGCACTTTATTTATCTGTTTGATGTAAGCTCAACTCTTGTAGTGTAGAACATGTCTTGCTGGGTGCCTGTGACTACACACTTAGGTTGCAGACAGTGCACAGTTCCTTGTGCCCATTTGCTTTGTTCTCCTTGCAGGAACTATATCCCTGAAGTGAGGATCATGTCCATTCCCAACCTGCGCTACATGAAGGTCAGTGCTTTTTTTTTTTTTCCAGAAACGTTTTATGGTGAGTCACAGCTGAGAGGTGTGCACGTGGGATCTTTTGGGGAGCTTGCACGGTGTGATGAATGTTTCCTGAAGGCTCCGCTCGTTGCAGAGAGGGCACAGGGTTTAAGGGAGTGGTTAGAATAACGCTGTGTGTACTTGTCACTCTGCATGAGTAGATCACAGTGTGCTGTGATGTCTGGCATTGCAAGTACATGATTATAGCTGATGAATAAACTTTGGACTCTGGGCTAGAGTCCAAAGACATGCATTTCTGCTATTAAAAAGAGTGCTGTATGACATTGCCACCTTTTGTACAGAACGGGGCTCTTTGCTTTCAGTCCTTTGAGTACCTGAGACAATTTTGAAGGTGTTAATCAGTCACAGGATGTGGAGGTGCTCACAGTAAAGATGACTTTTAGAATAATTACTTCTTGACCTGGGATTCTGGAATCTTTTCCAGGAAAGCCAAGTTCTTCTGACTTTGACCAATCCGGTGGAGAACATCACACACGTCACACTGCTGGAGTGTGAGGAGGGAGACCCTGACAACATCAACAGCACTGCCAAGGTACTGTGCCCTGCCTGATTTTATTCCTTGGAGGCTTAAATGACCATCACCAGTGTAAGCGTCAGCTCATAATGCATTTTAAAATGGTGTCTGCTCACTGAGATCCAGAGCCCAAGGGAGAAATGCACAACTTCCTAGGCAGAGTGGTAACTGGGCACTGTTAGAGAGGAAAGCCAAGGATGAATCACTTCTGTTAAGCCATAGTAAGGCAGACCTCAGAAGGGGAGTGCTCTGCCCTGCTCGTAGTGTAGGTGGTGAGTACTAAAAGGCTGCTTCTCTTTGTGTCATTTCAGGTGGCAGTTCCTCCCAAGGAGCTAATTCTGGCTGGCAAAGATGCTGCAGCAGAGTATGATGAGCTGGCAGAGCCTCAAGACTTCCAGGATGACCCTGAGTGAGTGCGGTCTGTTCTGTGGGCATCCTGCCCCTTAAATACTTGGCACTTGAACCAAGTAATTTGCTCTCAACCTCTCGTCAGTACTTCTTGTTACACTGACCACATATTTCAGTCAGAGATTAGCAGTGCAAATCTTTTTTCTGTTTGTGGTTTGGACTCTTCAGGAGATGTTTGATCTAAGGCAAGGGTTGGGTTACAGGTGCTGGTACTGATTCTCTCTGGGAATACTTTGAAATCCTCTCCTTTGTAAGCAGAGGGTTCACAGGAGTGCCCAGAATTATGCAGTAGGGGTGCAACAGAGGTACCTCCAGGCCTCAGAGTGGAATATGCTCTGCAGGCTCTTACAGAGCAACTGGAGCTAAAATATTACGGCCTCTCCCTGTTGCACAACGGGGTCTGTAACTCCTATGGCCAAAGCAGGCCTGTTCTGTGTGGTGGGTTTGTCAGCTGCCAGCATGAAGGGGGTACCACATCCTGCTCACGGGGCAGGAGGGGCTGCTGTCTCCTGGAAGAAGAGCAGCAGGGAGCAAGCTACACACCAGGAGAATTGTTCTGGCAGGGCATGTGCAGCCTGCGGGCTGTAAACTGAGCATCCCTCTGACACGGCACCAGAATGAGCCTCTCAGAACAATTGTTGGAGAACTCGGCTGACCCAGTTCTTTTGTTTTCTGCCTTGCAGCATTATTGCCTTCAGAAAAGCCAATAAGGTAGGAGTTTTCATCAAGGTCACCCCACAGAAAGAGGAGGGCGAAGTGACCGTGAGCTTTAAGATGAAGCACGAGTTCAAAAACCTGGCTGCTCCCATCCGGCCCAGCGAGGAAGGCGACCAAATCTCCGAGGTCATCTGGCTCACCCACCACGTCGAGCTCAGCCTCGGCCCAGTGCTCCCCTAAAAGCTCCTGAATTGTGTCCCAGTGGCTGGCCGCAGGACGGACTGTCGGTGAACGAGTGCGCCCTGGTGAAACCTTCTGTCAGCTCCTCTGCTGTGTGGGTGTGCGCCACGCACCCCAGCCAGGCCACGAGGAGGAGGCTGCGGGGTGGGGGTGCTGTGCTTCGGGATGGTTTGTTCTCCTCTTATCGTAGTGCCCACTAACGCTCTGCTTCCCTACACTGCCACAGGCTAGTTTAACTTGCAGCACGTGTGTCAGCACGCAGATCGAGCTAGCTTTCTCCAGGTTTGCACTACTCCTGGCTGAATTTGGCTGTGTCAACAAAAAAAAAGAACCCGTATTGGTTTTTCTTCATGTCAGCCTGCAAACCTAATGTTACGTACCTGATAGTGAATGTCTCATCTCACACAGAGTTACGCCCTTCTCGAACAAGTATTTTAGGAGGTGGCAAGGTCTGCTGCGTTCTGGCAGGTCTGTTGCCAGCAGCATGCTGCTTTCTTCTCTTTTTTCTGCTTCCTTGTAGGATACCTCAAGTAACCGTGGAGCACTCGGACACGAAACCCTTTTATTTTCGTGAAAAGCCCCTGGCACATGTAGCTTCCTTAGCCGGGGTGCTGCGTCTTTTCACAAAGGAGATGGTCGGTTTGCCCTTAAACTCCCAGTGTAGTGTACTGTAGTGTTCGTGGATTTGAGTGGTGACCAACTGCGCTGTGAGCCCGTTGTGTTGCGAGCTGGCTGTGGTAGCATGATAGATAATTACTGAGCTGGGAAAGCAGATCCTGCTGCCTTGCTTTGCGGAGGCAGCAGCGGTCCTGAGAGGCTGCCTGGCAGTCTTGGTATTACTAGATGTGTGTTAAAAGATAGCAAGTGAAGAGTACTTAAACGTGGAGAGTTCAAGTTAGGTCCAGGATACAAAAAGGAGCTGCAGAGGTTGGCCAGGTTGGTGCTTTGTCTTTTTTTCCAGTTGTGGGAGGGGGAAGTGAAGGAGGAAGGAGCATTGTGCTAGGAGCGTTGTGGTGTCCCTGGTGCACCCTGTACCCGTGGGGACAGATCTCTGCGGTGTGACCTGGCCGCAGTCCCTGCTGCGAGCAGTGATCACGGGCAGGGCCTCCAGGAGCAGATCCCTCCTCAGGAGCCTCCTTCTCACTCCCAGCTGAGCTCTTTGCCTCAAGGCCTTGCTGTGGTGGTGGTGGTGGGCGCCAGGCCCCCTGGCAGCCCCCTGCAGCTCAATTCCTCAAAAGACGCTCATGTGGGGCTCTGCCAGCCAGGAGCTCCTGCCTGTACCCACACTAATTAACCACTGCCCCCAAAACACCCCAAAATTGCCTCCTGGGGCTGTGTGGGGGCTGTGTGTCCGTCTGTCTGTCCCTGTGTCAGTGCCCCCCCTGCCCTCCTGCTTGACTGCTGTAGTAATAAAGCCGCCTGCCTCTCGGCCTCCCGTGCTGTCCGTCGCAAATAACACTAATTATCGTTAAAATAAAGGAATAAATGCATAAAAATGGCAGCGCCCCCCCCACTTCCACAGTGGTTTCTCCCCCCCCTTCCCTCTGGGCTCCCCCCCTCCCTCCGCAATGGTTCGGTCCCCATCTCTCCCCCCCCCACCGCCCAAATGGTTTCGTCCGCAATCACAATGGGTCCGTCCCCCCCCTCCCGTCCCAATGGTTCCGTCCCCCTCGCCCCAATGGTTCAGCCCCTCCCGCCGCGCCGCCGGAAGTGACGCCACTTCCGCCTCCCCCTGAGGCGGAGCGGCGCGGGGGCCGCCATGTCGACGTCGCTGGGCTCCAACACCTACAACCGGCAGAACTGGGAGGACGCCGTGAGCGCCGCCACCGGGGGGGGACGGGGGACCGGGGGAGACGGGGGGAGACGGGGACGGGCTCGTTCGGACAGCCCGGGGTGGGGCTGGGGGCGTGGGGCAGGCCCGAGGCCGGGGTGAGGGGGTGAGGGGCGGCGGGGGGGGCGGGCAGAGACAGGGAAGGACGGGAACTGACAGGGGAAAAGGGAAAAAAAAAAGAGAAAAAAGGGAATAAATGGAAAAAATGGACGGACACTGACAGAGGAAAAGGGGAAAAAGAAAGAAGAAGGGGGGAAATTTGGGGGAAAAAGGGGAAAACCAGGAGCAGCCGGCCTGCTGTGAGCCTCTCACCAGAGGGATTTGGGTGGGGGCTCGGGGCTGGCCCCGGGGCTGTGCCTGAGGGCAGCTTCTTGGTGCCCTCCTAGCGCTCAGGTGGGTGACAGTCAGGTGTGTGAGCACAGTTTGTGATTTAAGCCCTGCTGCAGTGATTTCGTTGCTAATTCCATGTTTTCTTTCTTGCTCGGTTCAGGACTTCCCTATTCTGTGCCAGACATGTCTTGGAGAGAACCCCTACATTCGCATGGTACGTGCCTGGTGACAGCAGCCCTGTGCTGGGCCGGTCATGGATGCCTGCCCCAAGACTCTGGGGTTCTGAGAGCAAAAATAAGCTGGAAAACAGGAGGTTGAGCTGTTTGCACTCCCAATTAGCTGCTTGTGCACAGCAGGATCTAGCTCATACCTTTGTTGATGTGTCATGTCGCGGTGGTAGGCACAGGATGTAGGAATAAGCTAGGCAAAAGGGGAGGAAGGTGGCAGGAAACAGCAGAAAACAAAGCTCTGGGACCAGGAAATTGTGTGCTGGAACGTTGAATAGATGAGCACAGTTTGTGATGTGCAGGGTTTGTACCCGTGAAGGTACGCTAAGGCTGCCTTAGGGAGGCATCCTGGCAGTCATTTAAAGCCTTGTTGACCTTGGTTCTGTCCGTTCAGGCTGAGTCAGGCTGTGCTGTGCCGCTTTTCTCTGTGCTCAGGCCAGTTACTGAGGATGAGGGTTTAGATTCTCTCCTTGTTTCCTTTCCACAAATTTTGCTGAGAGCTATTACAGCGTTTTTAAGAAACAAAATTTTATTGCTGATAGAAACAAGGGTTCAGAAGTGGTTTGTTTTCGTGTACTTGGTTTAGATAATTACATCATCACCTTTGTTTAAAAATAGCTATTAATATTCCATTTCATTTGCACCTCTCCTAAGTACATGAAGCGAGGCGCATCATACTCTGTTTAAACGAGTGATTCTAAAATGGGTTGAGAGTTTCTTAGGATTATTTTTGTCCTGTTCACCATCCAAGGAAGATTCCACTTAAGCACGAAACACGGGGGTGGGTGAGCCTTGGTGCAGCATGTAAGGGAGAGGATGCGGTGCTGTAACTGTGATGTTTTGTGTCTTTTTTGGTCAAGTTAATGATATTTCACGTTTTCTTTTTTGATTTTGATTATGTTTCAGACCAAAGAGAAGTATGGAAAGGAATGTAAGGTATGTTTGTTGTGTTTTGAAGCACGTCTAGGAGCAATATGTTGTGATGTTTATAAAATACCTGCTGCCTTCAGGAAAGTGCTTATCTGGGTTAACATCTTAACGCATACATAACTGCATAACATCTTAGGTCAGTCAACAATCTGCTTTGTTACGTGGCTGTTCTTGTAACAGTCAAAATACTGGTCAGACAGACCTCAGGTTTGCTCATGTTTATCAGAATCTTTAGGTTTTGCTAATCTCATTGTACTTTATTTAAAGGTATTGCAGCATTCAACATGTTCAGTACTTTCTGTTGCAAGTTTCTTTTCATTGTTAAGTGGTGCATAAATAACTGGAGTTCAGGGTTTGCTGTGAACATGTCATTCTTGGCCAGCTAGAGATTACTGTTAGAAATAACCCAGGTTTATTTCTGAGAGGGGTGGAAATATTTAAAGTTGTTGTGGCTTGATGGAAGTTAAGGTCCATCCCTGCTTCTTTTATCAGTTGTCACCTGAGGTGGGGAGAAGGTTTGAGTAGAAATCGTGCTTTCCTTCCTCAGATTGCACGTGCATCAGCTGCAGATGCATCTTTCTTGCAGATAACATAGAGGGCAGTGGCTTTTATCTGGACCAAAAGTCCCATAACCTCTCCCTGGGCTTGCTGCTATTCTATTGACTGTTCAATTTACAAATAACTGCCAATTTATCTTTAATAATGCAAGACCCTGAATGGTAAGTTCAGTGCTTTGGGATTCAGTTCTCTGCTTTCTGTCTCTCAGATTTGTGCCAGGCCCTTCACAGTGTTCCGCTGGTGCCCTGGTGTTCGCATGCGCTTCAAGAAAACAGAAGTGTGCCAGACGTGCAGCAAGCTGAAGAATGTCTGTCAGACCTGCCTGCTTGACCTGGAGTATGGTGAGTACCAAAAAGCATTAACTAAGAGAAGCAGCAGTTCTGCTTGCCTCTGAAATGAAAGTTGGTGAAATGGCTTTAAACGTGTGCATGAAATTGGCAGGGTTGTCTGCAGACAGACTTTGAGAAGAACAAGTCTTGATGATCAGATCTCTTCCAAGGTTCAGGGACAGCTTGGTGTACCTGGGCAGTAGATAAGTTATCTTTGGCTGATGCAGGATGTAGGAGCTATTTTTTGTTCTTTCGGTTTCTGCTTCATAGGGATTTTTTGCTTGTTTAATTCTAGGTTTGCCAATCCAAGTCCGAGATGCAGGACTCTCCCTTAAGGATGAAATGCCTAAATCTGATGTCAATAAAGAGTATTACACCCAGAACATGGAACGGGAGGTATGAAAGTGTGGTTTAATCACATTCTGTTTGTGTGGATGTGTACGAGGGAGGGAAGGGGCCAAATGCGCTTTCTCTGAAAAAGAATTAACCGAGTCACCTTAAAATCACGTTCTTCCTTTGATTCTGTGCATTATTTCTGATGTTTTTATATTATACAGTATTTGTCTTTTAACTTCTGCATAGATAGCCAACTCTGATGGCACCAGACCAGTGGGCGCGCTAGGAAAAGCGACTTCCACCAGTGACATGCTGCTGAAGCTGGCACGGACCACACCGTACTACAAACGTAACCGTCCTCACATCTGCTCCTTCTGGGTTAAAGGAGAATGCAAGCGAGGAGAAGAGTGTCCTTACAGGTACACGTACATTTCAAACAGTTAAATGTGTTCCCTGTGGCCAGATACATCTTCCCCTAGGGACTGAGGAGCAGGAAATGTTGCAGTGGGTAGAGGACACAATGCAGTGATTATTGGGGTCAGTGTGAAACCTGAAGGAGCTGGCGTGCAGCACCACTGAATGGATCTTTGTTGTGACAGGCTCGGTGGTGAGGCATTTGCTGCGTGGTTTTGTAGTGTTTGGCCAAAGCAGTGACTGCAGCTCTTCTGCGTAGTTCATTTCGTCCTTCGTGGCATCAGTCCCCTCCGTCAGAGGTCTTTGTGTTTGAACAAGAGGCCGTTTGAAATCCAGCTCTTGTGTTTTGTGGTACTGAATGCTCGGCTCTCAGAAGTGCCATTCATTCAGAGCTGAAGGCGGTCCTGCCTGTAGCAGTGTTGTTAGCTGCAGTCTAAGCTCTTGGGGCTTTTTGTTGCATTTTGGCCTGTTTATGTCAACAAGGTTATAAACCAGACTTTCTTTAGAGGGGAAAGGAGCAGTTGTAGTCACTTTAACCTGATGCAGCTGTGACTGGTGTTACGAAATGCTTTTTTTACTGAACCTTAGGCATGAGAAGCCTACAGATCCAGATGATCCTTTGGCTGATCAGAACATCAAAGATCGTTACTATGGAATTAACGATCCTGTGGCTGATAAGCTTCTGAAACGAGCATCGACCATGCCTCGACTGGACCCTCCTGATGATAAGACCATCACTACGCTGTATGTCGGAGGGCTCGGAGATACCATCACTGAATCGGATCTCAGGTGTGTTGGTGCAGCTGTGCTGCCTTTGTATTTGATGCTTTGGCTGCTGCTCATCTTCAAGGGAGGGAAGAATCTGTCTTGCAAGGAAAAAAAACAAAACAACACTGGCTTTCAGTGTTCCTTAATGGGGAACTGGTTGGTGGGCAAGTAGAGAGGAGTACCAGCTTGTTGGAGAACAGATAAACAGGCGTGCTTCAAAATGCTTTGATTAAGAGAGAAATCTTAATGATGAGTCATTCTCCTGAGCTCTTGGGGGTACTGTTATGCTTTGCAACAAGGCCCCATACCTTCTGTCTAGCCAACCGCTGAGAAAAGCTGCTGCAGTGATTTTATTGCTCCATAATGACACACGGGAGCCAAGAGACTTGATTAGTAGTGGTTGTTCTGAAGTGGTGATGGAGAAAAGAAAGGATGTGATCATATCGATTTCATCACACAAAACCTTACCCTGCAGCTAGGAGGAACGGGATTTCACATGCATGTTTTTCCACGCAGAAATCACTTCTACCAGTTTGGGGAAATTCGGACGATAACTGTGGTGCAGAGGCAGCAGTGTGCTTTCATCCAGTTTGCCACCCGGCAAGCTGCAGAAGTGGCTGCTGAGAAATCCTTCAACAAGCTCATCGTCAACGGCCGCAGGCTCAATGTCAAATGGGGAAGGTGAGTGGGGTGGGAGGTGTGCACACTCGTTACCTCTTTCTCAGATGCCTTGTGAGCACTGTCCTCAGGGGCTCGATTCTTAAACGGAATTCATTTTTTGTGGGTCTTTGTTCAGTTTATGCAGCCCTGAGGAGCTGGATTGGACGTTAAGCTGAAGTAGGTGCTGAACTGATACATAGTTGGCGTTCTCTTGCAGTCTGTTTTTCTTTCAGTAGTGGGATCTGTGTTGGGTATGACACAAACTGTGTAAGGGTTGCAGTTGGCTGAGGGCATTGGATGAGTTTCACAGTTCTGCTTCTACTCCAGGCCTTGTGAACGTTATTTGCATACTTTGTATCAGCCATCTTTGGGAATGAGGTTTTCATCCTTGGCCTGAAGAAATGGATCCAGATTAGATAATGTGGAACCACTACAGTATAAATATCTGCTTATCCTGCCTTTTCTTATCCTTTTTCTCAAATTTTGTCTGTTCTTTAGGTCTCAGGCAGCAAGAGGAAAAGAGAAGGACAAAGAAGGTACCACAGAATCTGGGATAAAGCTGGAACCAGTTCCAGGACTTCCCGGAGGTAAGGGAGTGGTTTTCATCGCTGAAACGTTTCATGCTGACCTGCTTCCATGAGAAAGGCTGGAGTTCAGCCTCCAAGAACATTTTAAAGTCAGGACACTAGAGGCACTGGTGAGCCCAGAGCAGTCACTGACTGTGGGTTTGCAGCAGATAAAACCTGGCACGGGAAACGAGCTTTGTCTAGAAGCAAATTCTTGCTGGAAAGAGAGGTTGTCATGTGATGAGTGAAAAGTTAAGGCTGCATTAATTAATGTTACTCAGGTCCAAGATACTGGCAACCCACGCTGTTCACGTTTTTGTAATTCATTGAGTGTTGTGTGAAGGAAAAAGCAAAGCTGGTTTCTGCTGGAGTAAAGTGGGGAGTGTTCAGGGGGTTGGTGCAGTTCCTGTTCCTTGCTCCACCTCGAACATGTGGCAGCAGCAGCAGTTTGCCCTTGTGGAGGAATTGGTTGTGCCTCCTCCTCGGAGGCAGATGTGCCTGCATTTCTTGATGGAGAGATGAGGTTTTCCATAACCACAGTATGTGTTTGTTGTTTTTTTTTTTCCTGCAGCTCTCCCACCTCCTCCAGCTGCAGAAGAGGAGGCTTCTGCAAATTACTTCAACCTACCTCCAAGTGGCCCTCCAGCTGTGGTGAACATTGCCTTGCCACCACCTCCTGGCATTGCTCCGCCACCACCTCCAGGTACTTGTTTTTCCTCTTTGATGAGGGTTTCTAAATTGGTGTTCCAGCACAGCGGGCTGGAGGTCTGCTCCTCCTTGCTCAGCCTAACTGCAGCAGTGAGGCATCCCTGCTTTTCCTGATGATACAGGCTGAAACAATGCCATAAAAGGAGCTGTCAGCACAGTTTGATTAAACTGAGCTGCCTGTTGTGGTAGGTAATCACCTGCAAGTTTTCAGGCACGTTACAGATCCCTGGTATGGGTATTCACACCTGCCTGGGGCATTTGCTGGCTGTGTAAACGCTGCACTGACCTGAACTTCAGGGCGTATTTCCACAGCTGGTTGAACACAAGCCTGTGGTTGTGCACATGCATCTGTCTGGAGGGCTTTTTGTGGGATGTCAGACTCTTTGGTTGCTCCACAGTTGGGCAGAAAGCATTTAGATTGGCATCCCATAAATCCCATAAAGCATTTAGATAGTCACCCGTGCCAGTCCCCCACCAGCTCATATCTGTGACTAGGAATGTGTTGGGTAAGGATTGCTCCCCGTTCCTCTGGGAAGAGGGAAGGAATTTGAGGAACTGTGGGAGTTGGGCGCCTCTCTGAGTTGCAGCTGGTGGCTAAACGGTTTCCATCGGCAGTTTCAAACAGCGGGACATTTGTGGGGTTTGCTCTCGTGCTGTGTCTGAACGCGACAACTCTTCCTGCAGGTTTTGGACCACACATGTTCCACGCCATGGGGCCGCCGCCTCCCTTCATGAGAGCTCCGGGCCCCATTCACTACCCGTCCCAAGATCCCCAGAGGATGGGTGCCCACGCGGGAAAGCACAGCAGCCCCTAGCACATCGTGTCGCCCTTGTCATTTAAGTAAATGTCATTTTCTAGTTACCATGGTAGTGCCGTATGTTGAGCTGTGGGTGAGCTAGAGCAGCCTTCTTTCCCTGCTTGCAGACGCTGGGCAGGCTGAGCTCCGCGTCACCGTTACCGTCGATGCAGCCCGGGTCTTTCGTTTAGTACCGGGGGGTGGGGGGCAGACAGAAGGGCTGTCAGGGGGGGCTGTGGATCAGGTGTACCAGGATTAAGTGCTCGTAGTGTATCCCATTTGCACACTTTTGAAATAAACTTCTGGAAAAACAAAAACCAAACCCTCTTCAAGCCCGTTTGATATCCTCAGTCTGAACACTGTGGACTATTTAAGTGTAACGAGAGACTTCTCTGTGTCAAGTAGCCACTGAATTGTGACCCTAATGACCTATTAATCGTGTAGCATTGAGCCAGGACTGAAGAAGAGCTGAAAAACAAGCTTGTCAATGTGCCAAACCCATGGCTTTGCCTTACTAGCGCCACAGAATTATTTTTTTCCCTACTTTTTAAAGACTTGTAACAGAAAAAAACCTTCTGGTGCTTCACTTCTAATCCTGCAGTGTCCCGAGCAAGAAAAGTTGGGTTGTGCAAGCAGCCCCCTGGTGCTGCAGGCGTGACCTGGAGTGACAGGTTAGCAGTTTTAACCTGCTGATGGCTCCCCAGAAGGTGCTCGTGTGCCCCCCCTGCAGCTGTCAGCAGCACAGCACAGCTGCAGACTCATCCTGTGCATTTTCAGAACACGATCAGGGCTTTCAAGGCAGTTGGATAGAGTCTCCTCTTAAACTCTGGGATGGATCCAGCACCTTTCTGATTTGATAAGACCTGAAACTTTCCTTTCTGTGCTCCAACTATAGCGTTTGTGTAGGAGCAACTGCATGGAGCCTGGCATTGAATAAGATGTACGGGCACATGGCTAGAGGAGTTTGAGATCCCTGTATGTCTGCTGCTTTCATGTAACTCATCTGTGGGCATCTTTCTGTAAAGCAAAACATGATGGACCTGTTCTGAAGACTCCTTTGCTTGTTTAAAAAAAAAATACATTAAATACATGAGTTTTTCAACACTTTGCTTAAACCCTGCTTCCTGGAGCAGGGCGGCTGAGGTCTTTGATTTTTTCGGCTGCTGCCAAAGCCGGGGTGAGGAGCGGGCTGTGCCAGGGGATCCATGGCACCAGCGGCAGGGCTGCAGCACAAGCTGGCCTTCCCTGGAGAAAGGGCTGAGCTGTGGGCACAGGTAATTGGTTTTTGTCAGGTAAGAGACATCCCAGGCAGTGTTGGGGGGATCAGGAGGGCTGTGCTGTGTGCTGCTGCGCTGTCCCCAAGGCTCCAGTCAGGGCCTGTGGGCACTGCAGACAGACTTGAATGCAAGCAAGGTGTGCATTACAGCTATTTATTTATTTTCCAACCAGGTTCCCCAGAGGTGTGTGTGTTCTTCAGCTGATGGACAGAGGGAAGAGAGGTGTGTTTAGAACAGGACAGCAGTCGTACATCACAAATGTTTAATATTAGAGGACTAGACCTTTATTCTTTACATTTGCTTATCCCCTCATGCTGCTGTGGGAAGAACAGGGAAATGCGGGTGTCCTGCCTCAATGCTGTGTTGTCGCAGCAGAATCCCTGCTTGGGAATCTCTCTGCACGGCATCACAATGCGCTGTACAAGCAAGGCAGCCGTTAACTGCAGCGTTACCACAAAATTTACTTACCTGGTTTAACCACAGTGGCGGAAAAAAATACTTTTATTCCAGTGCTCCTGGTTTCACAGGACTAAATAAGGGTGACAGGAAGAACTTGACAGAAGCAGTTGTAGAAAGCGTGTTGTGTCAGGGATCTTTGGTAGCGGCTGGCAGGGTTTTCCCTAAATTTTTGCTGGCTCTCCTACGAACTTCTAGCTGCATGTCCCACCGCTGAAAAAAAACTGTGTAGTCAAATCCCCACTGCTGATTTTTGCATTTAAGAAGTCCGTGCTTGCTGTAGGGATGCGACTGCACTGCTTTTCCTTCCCACTGATGCTGAAGTTGCTCAAATCCCCCAGCAGTTTCTTTCAGACTCCTCAGACTGGCGCAGTTGTGGACCGGCCGTATGAAGCAAACCTGGCACCGGAGGATCGAAGGGCTGAGATGTTGGAGCGAGGTGTGCAGGTGGGAAGCCCAAAAAACAGCAGTCACATGCTAGCCAGGAGCTTCTGGAAAAAGTGGCACAAGTTTCCAGCTCCCAGTGCTCCCCTCCCTGTCCGGGCAGCGCAGTAAGCAGGCAGGTGACGAGCTCATCCTTGCTGTTGTCCAGCCAAGCCTCAGCTCATTGCTTTTAACGTGCTGATGCCTCTGGTTGCTCGTCCTGCTGCTGTCCTGCAGTCCTCACCTCCTTTCCATGTCCTTCGGGTGGAATTCCTCCCCGGGGACACCACCTGTCAGGAGCAGGGCTTGTGTGCCAGCGCAGCAGCAGCGAGGCCCCACGCTGCTTGTTCAAACCCCGAGGAAAAGGAGGACGATCCGAGACCTCTAGCTTGGCTTTCCCAAAATTCTAGGCGAGGGCACTCACTCCCCTCTCCCCTACTATGGCTGAGTCTAGCAAGAAAAGCATCCGCGGTGCCGGGGAAGGGAGCGGGGGGTGCTACAGCTCGTCGCTCTCCGGGCAGGACCCGCGCCCAGCCCTGCGGCACTCTGTTGAAGTTGCGTCTCTGGGCGAGCAGCTCCAGACCGCTCAGGGGGTCCACCTCGGCGGGGGGCACGTAGAAGAGATCGCTGAGCACTGCTCTGTCAAACGGGGTGGGAGTCCTGCAGAGGACAAGTGAACTTAGCACATCACAGAGAGGAAAAAGCGTGTTTTATCTCGAGGAGCCCAGCAGCAATCAGTGATAGCCGTGACAAGCGACCACCCCCTTTTTTTCCCCCCCAGGATGCTGTTACAGCCGCTGCTCGCCCCGCAAGGTGCTTCCCTTGCTCAGAGCACCCTTCAGCTCCAGCTCTGGGTGCGTGAGCGCCCGTGGCTGTACGGGGAGGGGGGAAGCATGCTGCTGCCTCACCACGGGCTCTGCCACCAGCCAGAGATGTGAGAGGGCTTGGATTAGGAGAGCAGGTGGTGGTGATGGACCCACCAGCGACTTGTCTGCAGCTAATGTGTTGTGCAGGGGCCGAGGCTCCTCCTGCTGCCTCCTGATTGCTCTAGCACATGTGCAGGCTTTCTCCTGGCCCCCGTTCCAGCCAGCCTTTTGGGACGGCTTCTCCACCTCTGACTAAGAGGAGGAGCAGTGCGGGGGCAAGAGCTGTCATCCCTTCCCGGAGCAATGTGCGGAGTGCCAGCTCCCCGGCCGCCAGGAATGTTGGTTTTGGAGCGGCGCAGCACGGCTGACCTCCCAACGAGGGAGTGTTTGCCTTGGGAAGCTGCTGGAGCATGAGTAATGTGGCACTGTTTTGCAACAGCGTCCTAGCGAGAAATTAGCGGGGGAAAGGTAAAAGAAGGGGGGGGTTGCTCCAGAAACAGCCTCCTTTCTGGGAAAAGACGGGCGCTTGCAGGGCTTTGTTCTCACTCTCTCCTCTAGTGGCACACCGTCGCGGGGTCCCTGCATCACAGCCCGGATTTGTAAAGCTGGGATTAAAGCCGCCTGCCTCCCTGCGGCTGCTGTTGAGGTGGTGGACTTGGCCTTGCCCCGGGACACACGTGGGCCGTGCTGGGATTCACCTAGCTCGAGGCGAGGCTGCTGGCTGCTGGCTAGCCGGGCTGTTCCCAAAAGCGTTTCTGTGCCGTTTGGTATTTGACGAACTGAGGAGGGAGTTAAAAGCCACCAGCTTGGGAGATCATGAAAAGCCCCGTTAAAAGCAGATTGGCTGTCGGAGTCTTCATGCCTCAGTGAAGAATTAGAGGAGGTGGCAAGAGGCTCGGTGTTAAATTAGCATCCATCTGTATTAAATAACAGCTCGGGCCTTGAAATAGAACGGCAGCGTGCGAGAGGGGAGAAGCGGCTCAGGGGAAAGCATTATTCAGAGCCGTGCCCTTGCCTCGGTCCCTGCCCACAAACAAATGCTGAGGCTGGAAAGGGAGAAATGCTGGAAGCAAGGAGCTGAGCACCCACAGCAGCTCCTCCAACATCGCACCTGGGCTTCTCCTTGCCTTCTCCTTGCCTTCCCCTTGCCTTCCCTCAGCCCGCTTTCCCCTGGCTGCCCGCTGGGTTTCCTCTCCCTCAGCTCTGCCCCAGTGCTGCCCCCCCAGATCCCATTTGGAAGGGATCTGGTGACCTCTGAGCACCCTGTGGGGGGATTAACCCCGCACCCCCACGCTTCCAGCAGCTGCTCGGGTACCCGGGGAAATTCGGAGAGCTTGGGGCTGCCCCTGCTGCTCCTCCACCCCGAGCTGCTCCTGGCGGGGAGCACGGACGGATGGTGGCACCCGCAGCTCGGGCAGCCTTACCTGTTGAAGCTGAGGAACTCCCCGTAGGAGGGTCGGAGGGGCAGCTGGTTCTCCCTGCCCACAGCCTTGTCCTTGTCGCCGAGGAGCCCCTGCCAGGGGGAGCGGTAGCCCTTGGGGATGGCGGTGACGTTGAACTTCTCCGGGGGCACTTCTCGGAGGGGCCCCGAGTACCCTGCCAGGGGGAGAGGCGGCATTTGCTGCTGCTGGGCGAGCTGGGCGGGGGGCCTCCTCCCAGGGCCAGAGCTGGGGGGGGGGTGCTCCTGGGGGTCCCCGTGGCACCGCACGGTGATCCCAGCAGGGTCGGCTTTGGGGTGCGAGCGCTCACCTGGGGCCAGGTTGTCCGGGTTGAGGACTCTGCCCATCTGCAAGACTCTCTCCGATTTCTTGGGCACCTCCGGGGGGCCGCCCTGGGGCGATGCCGCCACGTGCAGCTCCGAGTGGAAGCTCTGCTGGCCCTCAGCGTCCCCAGCCTGTGGGGGGAAGGCTCTGGGCTCAGCACCCGATGCGTGCAGGATCCCCGTCCCGCTGAGCAGGGGGAGCTGCTGCCTCTCCGGGTACCCACCGGCCGCTTGTTCGCCGTCCCCTCCAGCCCAGCCTTATCGGTGCCGTGCGAGCCACCCGGCGCTGGGAGCTGCAGGGAGGGAGGAAAAGGGTCGGTGGGGGAATGTGGGGCACCCCCTTGGTGCTCACCCACCCTGCCGAGCCGTCCCCTCTCCTCCCCTTTTAGCCTCAGTGAGCGTGGCTGCTCCGCTGGAGCCCTGCGAGGAAGGGATGTGAGGATGGAGGGGGCACCCTGCTGCCCGGGGCTGGGCTCCCACCTTCTTGTAGCCGCTGGGGTGCTCGAAAACGAAGCGCTGCATCCGCCTCTGGCGCTGCTGGAAGAGCTGGGAGCCGCGGTTGGTGCTCAGGGAGAGCTCCTCCAGCATCACGTCCTGCGGCGTGCTCACCTTCTTGCCCAGGTCCAGCCGGGGCGCTGGGGACACCAGGGGAGAGGGTGGCACGGCTGCCGGGTGCCCCTCGCACGGTTTGGTGGCGTTCCCTGTGCCCCCCCCTCACGCACTTACCATCTCCAGGGTCTGGTTTCATGATGGTCATCGCCCGCTGCCGCGCTCCTGGGGCAGGGAGATGGGATGGGGACGGCTCCCGGCCGGCTGCAGGAGAGAGGTGGCCGCGGGTGACGGCTGGGCACGGGGAGCAGTGCTTGGGGTCACCTCTTTTCCCCCACCTCGGGTGCTTGGGGGCTCCCCACGACGCCCCCCGGGGATGTGCAGGGCCCAGGGGTGCCCCCGTTAACCCGTGGGGGAGAGCACTGCCCCACACCCAGCATCTCCCCTCTTTAGGGCAGAAAATGTCCCCAGCACCGGTGTCCCCAGGGCTGAGCCCCGCTCGGAGCAGCACCCCCAGGCCGAGCAGAGGTGCTGACAGCCCCGCAGCGACTCAGCAGAGCTATTTTCAGCTCCTGGGCACTGCAGGACCCGCAGCCCCGACCCTTCACGGCCAGCCCAGCCCGGGCAGTGGGGTGAACCGGGGTGCAGGGACACCTCCTGTCCCCCCCCTGATGGGGCTGGGGGGCTCCTCAGCTCCCAGCTCCTCTCCTCGGGGGCAGGATGGAGGTGCCCCCCCTGTGCTGCCCGCCCAAAATATCCTGCAGCAGCCGGGACACAGAAAGCAGCACGGAGAGTTTTGGGGGCTTGGTGTTGGGCGCATCCCGCATCTCTTGGCTCTGACTGAAGCTGTCCCCATCCCCTAAAAGCCCCGGGCAGTGAAGGGCCCCCCAGGGCTGGTGCCTGGCACAGGGCTCCCCGCCAGCTCCACGTCCCATATCTCCCATCCTCGGCTGGAGACCCCGGGACCCCCTCACCCCTTCTCCCAAACCCCCTCCCCGCTCCCTCTGTGCCCTCCCCACCCCACGGCTGTCCCCACGCCCTGCGCGCCCCCCACCCGCTGACCCAAATTTGGGACCTCACCCCCCCTACCTGCCCAGGGGGGGCTCCTTGTGACACCGGGGCGATGCGCTCTGCCCGGGTTGGGGACGAGGACACAGCCACCAGCTTTTGGTGGCCCCAGCTGGCTCCGTGCGGCACCTGGGGCTCCGTGCTGCTCGCCCCGAGCCGTGCTGGGCTCCGGCCGGGGTGCCAAGGTCCCGCGGCAGGCCAGCAGTTATTTCTGGCTGAGAAAGGGGGAGGAGCAGGGTGAGCCCTTGGGGACCGCCACGGTGTCACCCCGGCACCGAGTGGGGCTGATCCTTGGGGAGCAGGGACGGTGTCACCAGCAGGAGGTGGCCGCACGTGTCCGAGCCCCTCGGGGCGGGTGGGAGGCAGGCAGGCAGTGGGATACGGTGGGGTTACGGCCCTTTATTGCTGAGCTGGGTACACAACGGGGTGGCGAAGGCGGTGGTGGGGAAGGGCAGCTCCTGGGGGGGCAGAGGGGCAGGGAGCAGGGACGGGGTGGGGTGACAGAGGGTCCCCTACCTGGGGCCGTGCCCCGATGGCCCACGCACGCTGCGTCCCCTGGGCATGGGGTCGCTGCCTTGGCACCTCCCAGCACCCCAGGCTGGCTCCTGTTTTTAGGGGAAGCGCTGTGGGGGCCCGTTATTGCCCTCCCCGGGCTCTGCCACGTAACCCTGCCCACCCTGCTGCCCCCTCTCCCCATCACCCTGCGCACCCCCCCGCCAGCACCGTGCCCCCGAGCTCTGCCCCATGCAGGGAGCTGCCTCCCGTGGGACCCCCAGCCTGTCCCTGGGACCCTCTCAGCGTCACCTCCCGCACCGAGACCTCCTCCAAACCCTCTGCAACCTGTACCACTGCCTTCTGACCCCCACAACCCCCCCATCTCTGTGCCCTCCGTCCCTGCCGGGTCCCTCAGTCCCATAGGGTGGGGATGGGGTGAGCCTGGGGCTGGGGACAGGGACAGTGCTGGGGACAGGGACAGTGCTGGGGGTGGCGCTGGCCCTCTCTTTGCCCGGGCGCAGCGGGAGGTGACTGCCCACGGTCCCCTCGGCACGGCAATAAATAACTTTGGCTCTCTTTGTCATCACTGGGGAGGAATTTGGGGGGATTTGCATGGAGTTAGGGTCAAAAAGTTGAAAAAAAAGCAAGCAGGATTTGGGGGCCGGGGGAATAAAACATGAATTTTCCTCCTCCAGATCTGGTTTTGGCCGAAACCAGCCGGGTCAGACCCTGCTGGGGGAGGGAGTCCCGGCCACGGCACCCACCCGAGGGGCGCGCGGTGACCCCATGGAGGTGCCAGTGCTGCCAGGGCCACCCTAGGAAACCAGAGCTGGGGGGCACCGGGCACAGGGGGACACCCAGGGGCTGTGTCCCCCCTGCCAGCTGCCCCGCTCTCCCTGCTGACCACGCAGTCCTGCCCCGAAAGGTTAGGCTGGTAAAAATAGAGCCGGGCCATGGGACCGCGGGCAGGTGGGAGGCAGCTGACCCCGGTGGCACGCCGATGGGGACGGGGACGCTCCGCGCATCCCCAGCCCCTGCCCGTGCCTCTCCCTGCCTGGGGACCCCCTCGGGTGGCACTGCGGGGGGCTGGCGGTGCGGCGTGGCCGGGGCCGGCTGCTTTAGGAGGTGCAGGGGGCCCCCGAAGGCAGCCCCCCAGGTTTCAGCCGCAGGCTCCCGGTCCAGCCGCGGGGACACAGGTTGAAGCTGTGGATGCCCGGGCTCTTGGCCCCCGAGTCTTCGGAGTCGAGGGAGACGTCCGAGTCCGTCGGGGACCGGGAGCTGTAGCGCTTGGCTGGGGAGCGCGCGCCCACCACCGGCGATGGCAGCGGGCTCTTGGGGGTCGGGGACAGCCCGGCAGAGCCTGGGGACAGCAGGAGCCGGCGTCCCTCTGCCCAGGTGGCTCGGGACACCCCGGGGGAGGCACAGGAGCGGGGCCCGTCCACCCGGGGCGATGGCAGGGGGCTCTTGTAGCCGGGCGAGGGGCTGCCCGGTGCGGCCGGCACGCTGCAGGCGGAGGTGGCCACCTGCGGGGCCAGGGCTCTGCACCCCTCCGGCCGGGGGGATCGGGGCAAACCGGGCGACCCCATAACCTGGGGGCTGGTGGCAGGGGGGGTGAAGGGCCGGGAGCCCTCGGTGCCCACGGCTTTGGGCGAGGAGCTCTTCCTGCGGGCAGCGTTGATGATGTTCCTGGCGAGCCGCGCTTGCATCTGCCGGCTGGCCCGGGGGTCGGCGTCCTGCCGCAGCGGGGACAGGGACCTCTCGCTCCACGGCGGGGACCTGGGGGGGCCCTCGTCCAGCTCGGGCACCGAGGCCGGGCTGGCCCAGCCGTCCAGGCTGCCCTGGCGCCGCGCAGATCGGGGCGTCCAGGTGGGTGAGGCGGGGAGGGACGTGCGCCTGTCCTGGAGGGGACAGAGAGCAGGTTAGCGGCCCCACCGGGGTGGGGAAGGGGACAGAGCATCGGTGTTGGGGAAAAGGGGTGAGAAGCCAACGGGTCTGATGCCCCACCGTTATCACAGATCATTTTTGAAGCCCTGGAGGTGAAGCAGAGCTCCAGGCAGGTGCGGGTACATGGGCGCATCCCCCTGCGCAGCAGTGCTGGGGCTGGGTTAAACCCCTGCAAGAAGGCTCCTGCACCTGCCTGGGTATTTGGGGCCATTAACGACCCTCCCCCCGAGGGTGTGCTTCATCATCCCTGCCCCAAATAGGAGCCAGGATCTGTCTCTATGTGCTGGTGGCACAGCACGGTGGGGCCAGAGCCCCCTGAGGTGCTGGGGGTCCGAGCCCCCGGTGCCGAGCACGGCGAGGCTTCACCGCCCCGCAGCTCCTCCCGAGGCAGCAGGAAAGAGAAGAGACAGTCTGAGAGTGCACGAGAGTGTATTCAGAAAGAGGAGGGGGAAAAAAAGGCAGGAGAAATAAAAGCACAGTCAAAAGGCAACTCGTTAATGCGGAGAGCAGCAGGAGAGAGGGGCTCACGGAGCTCGGCGCAGGCAGCCCCCTGTCCCCATCCCTGCCCTGGTTGATTTTTCCCCCTTCAGAGGCTGGGGCAGGTACGGGGCCAACATCCAGCCTGCGAGGAAGCCAGAATCTGGGCGAGGGGCACCTCTGCTCCCGGGGTGAGCCAGGAGCACCCCGCATTTGCTGGCACAGCCATGGGAACTGCCTGCAGAGCGCCGGCACCGAGCCCTGCCCGTGCCCGTCCCTCGTCCCCCCGCTGTGCCCACCTTGCTCAGCACCAGCCCCAGCAGCTCAGTGCCTCTGCCTGCCCGGGGAGCTGCTCCCAGAGCTGGCGGCTCTGCTCGGCGGCGTGGGAGCAAAGAAGGACAAGTCCCTAGAGAGCAGCAGGAGAGACAGGAGCAGGCACAGTGAGGCGGGCAGGCCGGGCTTTGGTACGAGGAGGCTGCGAGTCGGAGGGGCTGGAAATGCAGGAGGAGAGAAAAGAGACGGAGGCAGAGCTGCGATGCTCCGGAAAGTTTCCAGGAAAGAGAAGAGGGAAAGCACCGGAGGCACTGCGGGGCGGCCGGGCTCCTGTCACCACCTGGGGGGCCCTGTGCTTTATGCCCCCCGCCCCGCTCGGCACAAACACACGGCTCCTGGCGCACCGGGGGGCTCGGCACTGTGTCCTCTCGCCCCCTGCACTGCCCTGGAAGCCGTTGAGCTACTTCTTTTTTTTCCTTTTTTTCCCCCTTTTTTTGGCTCGGTTCAGCCTTTCGCACACCCGTGAGCAATCGGAGAGGACTCGGCCGGCGGAGGGGAGCCCCAAAACCCTCTCCGTGGTCTCTCCGCCCCCGCTACTTGTAGTAAAAGGAAGGTTTCCACACCTGCGCCTCGATCCCCGCGTTCCTGGTGGAGTAGGAGGGCCGGGGCGCCTGGAAGCCCCCCTTCACTCGGCGGCACGGCGAGGCCAGCAGCAGCTCCGCCGAGGCTCCGGGAGCGGGGAGGCTGCTCGGAGGCAGGGGCAGAGCCCCGCTGGCACCGGGGAAGGGGCTGGAGGCCGCCCCGCTGGCAGGAGGCTGCCAAACGGGGGAAGGAGGCAACGGAGAGGCCGGGCAGGACGTTCTCTGCGGGCAGGGGTAGGCGTCGGGAAGAGAGGGTCTGGGCGGTGGCACGGCCCTCGGTGGGACTTTGGATGGGGAGAGGATGAAGAGCGAAGGCTGGAGCTGGTAGGGCTGGTGCTTGGAGAGCTCCAGCTCCCTCTGGGACGCCTCGTTCTCCGCCAGGGCACCGTAAAGAGACGCCGGGGGGGTTTTGGAGGGCCTGCAGGGACTCTGCACCGGGTGCCTGGAGACCATGGGCGAGAGGCAGGCGGTGGCGTCGTACTTCCAGGAGGGAGGCAGGGACATGGTGGGCGACGGGGAGCGCAGCAGGTCGGGCTGGGAGGGAGCCTCGATGATGAACTTCTCCATGCGGGACTGCCGGCGGGCAAACAGCTCGGCCCCCTTCCCCCTGGCTTCGGTGAGGTTGTGGCTGGGCTGGGGCTTGGGTTTGGGCTGGATGCGGGGGGATTTGAGGCAGGACGACCACGCCGGGGCATCGTCGGCCGGTGCGAGGTGCTGCCCGCCCCTGGCTGCGCTGCTGGGGACGAAGTTGGAGGCTTCTGCCCCCAGGGCGAAGGGCTCGTCCTCAGCACCGGGCTCCCCGTGCTCCTTCTGCTTCTTCCTGCTGTCCGCGCTCTGCACCAAATCCAGCAGGTCGGGGTTGGGGCCCAGCTTCGGCTTCTCGACGAAGGTGAACATGGACTTCTTGTGCGCCCTGCGGGCCGCCGACTCCTCCAGGATGCCCGTTTTGGGCAGGGGGGGCACGGCCCCCGCCCCGTGCACGGGGCTCTGCAGCACCTTCTGCTCCACGGGGGGGTACAGGGCCGAGTAGGCAGGGGGCGAGCGGACCCTGCTGAGCGGCGGGGGGCTGCCCAGCGTCTCCGCGTAGGTGGGCGGCGGGGGCAGCTCGGTGGGGGCAGGGGGGGCTCTCTCGGGGGGCTGGCTTGGGACTCCCTCGGGACCCTGGCTTGGGGTGGCGGGCGTCTGGGTGCCGAACGGCCTGGCCGTGCGGTTCTTCACGGGCTTGGGCTTGGCCAGGGTGAGGTGAACCTCGTAGTACTGCCTGCTCCGAGCCCCGTTCTGCGCCTGCCCGGAGGGGGTGGCTGTCCCCACGGGTGAGCTGGCTGTCCCCAGGGGGGTGCTGGCTGTCCCCACGGGTGCGCTGGGCATCCCCATGGGCTCACTTGGCATCCC